AGAAGCACTTTTTCTCCTCCGGGGCGAGAAAAGCCCAGTTCGTAAGTGTCGGATCCGTGTAACTCGGGGACTGCCTGTATATGGTTGTATGCTGGCTAGCTTAGTCCTGGGCCTTTGACCTGTGCTCAGACCTGTAAGTAAAGATTCAGTGGCCCCTTTCAAACCATGGGGCCTGAGGGCAGGGCAGGCAGCAATGCAAATGGAGTCGCCCAGTCAATATGATGCAGGGCAGCAAAGCAAACCTAGTCCTACAGTCAGTAAAACCCAGCCCTGGTCCAGGGAAGGTCAGAAAACAAACACAGTTCCCCTGATACCAGCATGGAGGGGAGACTGCCACCCCGCATATGAGGTGGCAGATAGGGATGCCGGCCCTCTCTACTCCACCACATCCCAACCCAGGGCCCTAGCAGTGGCAGCCCTGCCTGCCATTGGGGTCCGCAGGGATCTGGCCTGCAATACGCTGACATACTGTAGAAGGTTATGTGATCAGCCTGACGGTCATCAGTAGGGTTGGCAGGTGTCCGGTATTTTTTGCCTCCTGTCCGGTTTAAAAAAAAATCAGAAAAGAACAGACCCCTAAAATGTCCGGTATTTTCTGATTTTTCCCCCAGCCAGGAGGTAAAAATGCTGTGCACCTGGCAACCCTACAAACACTCAGCGCCCAGCCTCCCTGCCTCCCCATACCTTCAGTCCCCATTCTTACCTGTTTCCGCAAGGCTGCCAGCACAAAATGACTGTTCCTATCCCTGCACTCACTCTTAAAGGGGTCATGATGTTTTAATGCTGTTTTATTTTAATTTTTTTTTTTTTGCTTAAGTCTTGGAGTCTTTTTTTTTTCCCCTTTTGCACAACAACTTTGGTCTCCTCCCCCGTCCCCCCACCTCCGTTTAAGGAGATGGAGAAGATGGCTGCCTGGGTGTAGCATCGCAAACAGCTGCGTTTCAGAAAGGCATACCTAGGGCGTACTGAGCATGCTGTTGCTCTCACTCTGGTGCTACACTGGCAGCTTGTTAAGAGTGGCAGAGCCCAGCCCCTGCTCTTCAAGGGGCCATTCTGGGGTTTATTTATTTATTTTTGTCCTTAACTCTTGGGGTCCCTTTTGTGCTCAACAACTTTGGTCCTTCCCTTCCCCCCCACCCCCTCTTTTCTTTTTTTCAACAGAATTTTTTCCCTCGTGGCTTTTTTTTGGGGGGGGGGGGGAATGTTCTGTATTTTTGGTTAAACCAAAGACAACCCTAGTCATCAGCTTCCCATGGACCACTTCCTAGTTCCCCTTCTGCATCTACCTGGCTCCACGCCAGCTGATGGTTCTCAGGGTCATGGTAGTCTTGAACCCTTTGGCAGAGTGTAGGTCTCCTCTTCAGAGTAAGGGCCCAGCGGTCCAGGCCAGTCCTCAGTTTCTTCAAGGTCCTTAAGGGCCTCCTGGCCTGAGCGCTCAGGGCAGGCTCCTGGGGCTGAGCCCTCACTGAGCTCCTGGGCTGAGCTTTTATCCTCCCTTCTCCACCCCTTGGTTTCCATAGAGTTCAAGGGACAGGACCCGGCTCAGCCCACCCAGGTTCAGAGAGGGGTTCTTCCCCTCGG